TTACTTCCTGTTCGTGTTAATCACCATAAACTTTAAGTCCATTCACACTATCTCCTCCCTCAATACTTTTTTTACCCCTATCAACTTTCTATTATATACAAGTGACCCGTCGAACCCCATAAAGAAGGATTTTACTGTCTAACAACAATCTCTGAGTATAAATTATTTTTTTCTCACCAATTGCCATGTCACTCTGTACAGCATGTAGCATCACCCCCTCCCTCACTCCCCCTCCCTCTCCCTCACTCCCCCTCCCTCTCCCTCACTCCCCTCCCTCACCTACGCTAGGGGGAGGGGAAGGTGATCATATGAGATACCTTATACCCCCGTTTTGAACTAGTGAACTCAAAATGAACAGTGGTCATCCAGTCCTCAGAAATAAACCACGTAGTGTCGTGTTCAAAATAGAAACGTCACTTAAGGTTCAGGAATCAGAATGTAAACAGACACAGACAGACAGACAGACAGACAGACAGACAGACAGACAGACAGACAGACAGACAGACAGACAGATCATTAAGCGCTCTGTTTTTATGTGAGCGTATGCTAATAAAACATATTTAATGGATTTTCCTCATTATTTTTAGGGGATATCGACTAAATATCTGGCCAAAGGCGTAGAAATTTGAAAGTCTCTAGAGTACAGTACGTCACACACACACACACACACACACACACACACACACACACACACACACACACACACGCCAGCACAATGACACTAGCGGGCACCCCCTATAAACACTAGACCAGGTACTAAACGCTGACGACGCTGACGCTGAACGCTGACGACGCTGACGCTGAACGCTGACGACGCTGACGCTGAACGCTGACGACGCTGACGCTGAACGCTGACGACGCTGACGCTGAACGCTGGCGCTGAACGCTGACGACGACGCTGACGCTGAAATGGTCCCAAACAGCTCTTCCTTTTTTCCCCTCAATTACGTAAAAAAAGGGGAAAAAATAGAGACTTTCAACGCTTTTTCCCCTGACTTTCTTTTGACGAATTAAAAAAAATGGTAGTATGTAAGAGGAAGGATTAATACAATGGAGGTGGAGGAGAGTGAGAATGTACACAAGAAAAGATTAGAAAAAAGTTAACATTGGAAAAAACACTCACATAATAACCTGTACGCACACACACACACACACACACACACACACACACACACACACACACACACACACACACACACACACACACACACACACACACACACACACACACACACACACACACACACACACACACACACACACACACACACACACACACACAATACACATGTTCCTATTTTCACCATCAATATACTACCACAAACACCATAACAAAATAATCACCTGTAAAGATACTTAGTAAAAAAGTCAAGAAGAATTTCCATCTCTTGTTCTTTCTTCAGTTAGTGTGAACGATGAACATAACACACACGTTCTTCTTACCTTTAGGGTCACTTCAGCGTTGATGGGAAGTCCTGTTGATATTCTGGGGCGTTCTATTATTTCTGTCTTAGGGGTTAACACAAGCAGGTACAGTATATGTGTGTTTTCCTGGAGTAGATTAGTTGAATTAAGGTACTGTACTCAACTGTACTCACTCTTACATGGGAGATTTCAATGTGAGTGGAGGAATGATCTTTTAAACACCTACAATACTTGCTTTTCGCCGCCCTGTCCTCGTATTATAACCGAGACCCTCAATTATGACTAATCTAATATAACCTAACCTAATCTAACCTAATCCAACCTAACCTAATCTAACCTAATCCAACCTATCCTAATCCAACCTAATCTAACCTAACCTAATCCAACCAAACCTAATCTAACCTAATCCAACCTAACCTAACCTCAGCCAAGATATAACTATGAAGAATATTCTGAAAATTTGTGAACAACTAAGTGACGTATTCCCTGGGTGGTGAACTAACCTTTCTCCACTTATAATTGATCAAACTGTATTTAACCCCTTGAGTATACGGTGAACTTAACCATTTTGAGTACAGTGACATAACCCCCTGAGTACAGTGACATAACCCCTTGAGTACAGTAACATAACCCCTGAGTACAATGACACCATCTTGTAGAAACACACATGGGAAGATATAAATAACTTAAACGGAGAGAGAGAGAGAGAGAGAGAGAGAGAGAGAGAGAGAGAGAGAGAGAGAGAGAGAGAGAGAGAGAGAGAGAGAGAGAGAGAGAGAGAGAGAGAGAGAGAGAGAGAGAGAGAGAGAGAGAGAGAGAACGAATAAACACAAGATGACCTCTGGACGAATCAAAGGTGGGAGAAAGCTTAAACAGAGACGACACACGAAGCCGTAATGACGAGGGGTGAAAGTATGCTGAAGAAAAAAGAACAGCATTTCGTATATATTCAGTTAAAGACACGATGAACAACAACAACGTCAACAACAACAACAACAACAACAATAATAATAATAATAATAATAATAATAATAATAATAATAATAATAATAATAATAATAATAATAATAATAATAATAATAATAATGTCAGCATGCCTTAACCTTTCAAGGATGTTCTGATTGTACTGCGCATGCCCAGAGATCCTTTTCAACAATCTCCAGACGACACACCACCGGAACATGATCAGTATTGCCAGGTCTGTTTCAGGTGCTGGGCGAGGCTTCTTGAGGTCAGTAGGCGGGTAGGCGTTTGGCTTCCTCTGGCCGCAAGTTAGTGGTGCTGGTGTCTGATAGGATACGTCGATGATATCAGTCTGATAACGTATGTGCACTTAAATACACACACACGTACACATACCCCACCCCCACACACACACACACATACCGCCGACACACGTACACATACCCCCCCACACACGTCAACGTCCCAAGAGTAGCATAAAACTTTCTCGTCTGGCGGAAACTCGGTCACCCTCTGTTGTCTGGTCAGTACTTCTCCGCCTGGGGCAGTGGTGGATGGGCGGGGCGGGGCGGGGCGGGGCACAGGTGGGGCAGTGGAGAATGGACGGCAAGAAAAACGTATGACCACGGATATAAAGGTGAGGGATATAGCATGAACAAAAAGATAAACATGAAAGAAGAAATTAAAAGAAACGGGGAAGAGGCGACGGGAGGTGATGGGAAAGGAGGGAAGAGAAAGGAGAGAAATGGGAAGGAAGGGGGTGGAGGTAAGCGAAGGATAGGACAACTCCCACCAACAATTGTCCTACTTGGGTGACTTTCTCCCTGTAGCGCCCCGTCTCACTGCCTATACCACCCCCACGAATTCCTCCACACCTAACGTGACCACCATAACAGTTTTCTACCAGCCGAATATGAACGATACTATGATATTTTATTCTTTAGTAAAACTGTAAATAGAAAAACTAAGAATTCTATACCTACGACCTAAAGCTCCCCCCTATCCCGAGATATATACAACCAACCCGTATATAAACATTGGGTGATTCAAAAAGTTTAAAAATAAAAGATAATATTTAGTGGTGACATAATGAAGCTCTCTACAATAATAAGCTCGCGAGTGTATGTTTTTGTACAGAAGATTTCACACGTACTTGGTGCAGACAAGCACTGAGGTCTGTGAGAAGTAATTAAGGCGGTCAGATTTCTTTTTTACCCATCACAGTATTGTACGAGTATATTTTTAGCTCTTAGATAACCCAATCGTCACCCATCCTACTCGACTGGTTTTAGGATACGGTTTACAATTGTGTTCTATGTTTTAATGTATTACTACGCTTCAACAACTAAGGTATTTATTAAGTCCGTATTCTAGATTAATAAATAAACTAATCATCAAAAATAACAATAAAATCTTTCTCATTTTTATTTACTTATTTTTTTACTTCCTAGGCTGGATTTTTTTGTCTTTGTCCTCGCGTGATGTCATACAGTACTCTCGCCTCCTTCAGCACCACCGTCCTCTCAACTACACTTTGGTCGCGTCTTCCCGGTTCACGCCCTAACTTTACACAGCATAGTGACCAAAGAGAAGGCCAGGGTTGTTTTCCTCCTGATGACGTTACCAGTTGTTCTGCAGTTCTCTTACACAGTAAATAGCTCACCCAAACACCTCTGTCTTCCTGTTCTTAAGTTATAAAACAAAGCCAGATTAGTACCTGTCATTATGAGCGTTAAGGCACCCTTGAAAATATAACTCTCACGCAAGAAAAACAACACCAGTTAGGTCAGGAAAGGCAGGTATTGGGGGCTGTAAACTCACTCATTGTTGAACAGGTTTCCAGGAGGACTTCTCACCAAATTCCCCAAAATTTCACTGATCTCGAAAAACAAAACAAAATAACTTTCACCTGCATTTCCTGGGTCGAGGTACACAGTCTCTCACCCTTGTCTGATGAAGCCTGGCCTCTATGATACAAGGAAGCCAAATAGATGTATTCCTTAACCTAAGTCTGTTGTAACGAGTCAAAGTTGTTCTAAATTACCAGAAGAAAAATTAACATTATCTGAAGTGAACTAACATATTTTACCCATTAGTTAAACAATAAAGTGATGTTAAAATGTAAAAGAATAACCCCGCACCCCGCCAGTGTATAGTGATTATAAATATTGTGTACGAGAAGTCTGTGACAAGTTGAAAAGAAAACCAATAACAACCAAAAGCTGATTACACAAACTGCATACGTCATGACACACACACACACACACATGTAACCCGTATGTAGATGTTATCGCTTGAGTCTTATTATTATTATTTGATCTATATATATTTTATCACAATTAAGCTGTTAATCTGAATGTAATAAAGCAAAAGGTTGTGGATGACAGGCACAAGAAGGTGATAACTCTGGAGGCCACAGTTGCCCACCAAACACTCCACTTAACGCACAACGGTCATTTTTACCCCATAATAAACACCAAGACACAAACATGCACAAGAAAGGTGCGAGGCAACTTTCTCTTTTGTGAGGGGGAGGTACGGGTGGGGGAGGGGCAGGTGGGGAAGGTACGGGTGGGGGAGATACAGGTAGGGGAGGGGCAGGCAGCAGAAGTGTACCAGCTTCGCGGTGGGAAGGTTGAGCTCCCCCACACCGGCCAACACACACTGCCGGTCACACTCTCACAATCCAGGCAGGCACCCAGCACAACCTCAGTCCACCAGCAGGAGCTCTCACGCTCAGCCGCGCTCCGCCACCCACCTCACGGTGAAGCAGCTTCACCACACTTTAGATCGCACCCTCGTGAGGGGCTGTCTACCCGCTGAGCGTCACGCGGGACTTACATATTTCTCGATTATCTAATGAACTTGTGAACGTGACGACGCTATTGTGAGGTACCTAGTGATAGAGTGTTACTTCCCAGAAACAGCCCAGGACGTACAGTACAGTGCTTGAACGGCCAAATATATTGTATCGGCGAAGGGGTCAAGATGTCCTGCATATACGTGTAGACAGGACCTTCAAAAGCATCACTGAAGTGGGATACCAAGGACTGACCAGGATACCAAAGACCAAAAAGTTTATTCATTGACACCAGGATTACATTGACCTACACCAAGGGGCGATCGGCCCTTCCTGAGCTGCAACACACCACAACTAAGGTCAGTTACCATGTGTACAACAGGCTAGTACACAGGTTTAGGAAAAGGTGGAAGTGTAGGAATTATCTCCAAGTAAATTTAGCGTCAAACACAAGGCGCTTAAAAGTCGGGGAGGGGGGGGGTATTTTGTGGCCAGCCAAATACGATTTGTTTACATTACAAGGTTCAATTTAAAGATCCTATCTGAATCGCCGTTTGCCGATCAATACCTGTTGTCTTTGTACAGGTGCAGCCAGCATATCTGTGACTGCTCGACTAGAACGATTCGCGGTTACAAGAAATAGATTCAGTCTGCCTTCCCGAGCCAGTTTTGAGACGAGTCATGGCCTGAGCAACTATATAAAATATTCTGGTACTGTCCAAAATTCCGCGACTTACTTACATTCAACAATAAAGCTTTATATTATCTTAAAGTTTAGTTACCATATATATTTACTGGAGGATTTTTACGGTTTCAGTCTAGCTGTTATTGCTTTCTCGAGTGATCCTCCCCTCCCTTTAACCCCCTAATCTATTTAAGGGATGGCTGATCCTCTGCTTCACTAGGACAGGCGCTTCTGGATATCACACACACACACACACGAGTATATGAAAGAGAACCTAAGTGTTGTCGTCATGGTCGTCATCAACATAGAAGCTGGAATGTAAACAAACAAGGGAATTCACGTACCACTGAAAATATACAAAGCGGTGTTCCTTGTGGTGACCTTCTGATGTTGTATGGTGACTTGAACTTTTAATTGGTGATTTTATAAAATTCTTAACTGGTGTTATTTGTGTTATGTAGTTCAGGTGTTTTTCCGGTTTTAATTTGAAGTATTTAGTTTGATCAGGTGTTATGTGTTCAGGTTTTGTTTGGTGTTTGGTGATGTACTTTGGTGTGTGTGGTCTTGTATATGTGGGGGTTACAACAACAACAGCTGAGTGTATAAAAAAAATGCTGAGACACATGAATGCTTTATGTAAGGGATGTGAGAAGTGACGATGATGACAAATGGTGTGGGTTTTGGTTGATGGTACTGTACAGTCTCGTTCAAGATTCTTTGAACACTGCTGGAGACAACTGGCAACTCAAGGCCGTTTGTTTACTATAGTAGGTAAAAAATTATGAATAAATGCAAAAGTGATCGGTTACTGAGTTCCCCGTTGTTTAATTTAATTTGTTGGGCTTTATTGCTACGTGCTATAGTAAACAAATGGCCTTGAGTTGCCAGTTGTCTCCAGCAGTGTTCAAAGAATCTTGAACGAGACTGTACATTATAAGGAGGAATGTACTCGTAAGACTCCATGAATCTTGTGATAAAAAGAACAAAGTTACACATATAAGATCCCTTAAAGGAAGAGAGCGAGTAGGAATATGGTTAATGGTAAATTAATCATGACGTGGATGATATTTTTAAGTAAGATTGTGGATGACACTTAAATTATGGGATGATGAGTGTATGTTGCAGTGGCCAGAGTGGTGGATGATAATTCCTAATAAAAAAACCAATACAACAAAGAGTGATGGATGGTAATTGGTGAGTCTATTAACTGATAATGTTGCTCATACTGACATTTTTTTCTCACAGACATGTGGTGTGGAAGGGTGCTTGCAGCGTTGTGGGCGGCATGGGTAGTGCAGGCGGAGCCAGAGGGACGAGGACTAACTTGGGCAGCGGTGATGGGTGCTCCCCCCGAGAGGACCCCATATCTTGAGCCACGGCCCTTCATGGAGAATGACAACACTGCCTACTATGATGATAGCAGTGACCAGTTTTTTGACAACCCTGACTATGTGTATGTAGATACAGAAGATGCCAGCTACAAGGAACCACTGGCACCGGTGTCAGAAAAGGAAGGTGATTCCTCTCAGGTTGCTGAGCGACGCACCTTTGATGTTCTTTGGCATGCCTTTATGGATCAGAACACACCACAGCAGGAGCTGGGTGATAGGCCAGCACGCGAGACAGCCACTCGTCGCCCCACACTTATTGAGGCTGTTTTCAAGACCATTGATGACCACATAGTGAAGGACCTGGAGCAGTGGACAACATATTCATCCCAGTCAACCACCACACCACCACCACCAAGAATCCCTACAGCCACTGCTATACAACAGGCCTCACCTGACAATGATGAACTATTGTTAGTGACGGATGAACAAGGGCGGCAGCACATTGTTAGTGTTAATGATATTGTTAACTCACTTGGTCACCTTGATGAGAAAACGTTGACTGACCTGATACTGCCTCCTGATGAAGGTGCTGCCTCTGTCAGGTCCACTCGCAGGACTCTCCCTCCTCTGCCTCCTTCAATACTGCCAGAAACCAACCCTGCCCTGCCTCAGGGAGTGCCACTCCTGTTAGGCACCACGGCAAGTGATAATGCGGCTGTTGAACGACCACAGAGGCATACAGGCCCCACCAAGACTACCACTGATAATGAAGAGGTGTATGTGGTGCAGGATGAAAATGGAGAATTGCAGCTTATCACTCTGAATGACATCTTAGCTTCTCTGGGACAGCTCGACAGCAACAGTGTGAATGAGTTGCTCTTCAGCCAAACAGGTGGAGCAACTATTCCCTCGCGCGCAGAACCATCTCCACCTCTGTCCTCACCACCAGATGCGACTACAACTTCCACAGCGTCTAAGAGTTTAGCGTCTATCTCAAATCTTAATAAGAATGGGCCCACTCGGGCCAATCCTTTCACATTCCCAAATGTGGCTAGCAGCATCAGTGTTGGCGATCAAAGAGGATCTGCTGTGCCTCGGAAACAAGTGACCAAGAGTGCACATCCTTCCACCCACTCAGGTCCACAGCGAACTGATGGAATGATTGTGCACACCGATGAAGACGGCAACATTCACATCACCCCTGACCCAAGCCAGCCACTCAATATTCAGAACATCATAGCAGTAGCGGAGCAAACAGCAAACCAAGCTGCAAGTGAACCCAGACCAACTATACGCACTAATATCCTGCCACAACATAATGAAAAGGTACAAAATACCCACAGAGGACAACAAATAATGTCCTTCTTAACTGGTGAAAGGAACGCCAAACTCCCTACCACAACCCAGCCCATTGTGTCGCAAACAGTGGCCCCAACTCAACATCATCGTGGTATAAATTCTTTCCATCAGTCCCTGCTGCAGGCTCTCCAACAACAACCTTCAAATAATCCTATAGTAAATCCATTAGCGCAGTATAGAACTTCCTCGTCCATTCCACAGCCTTTAGTTCAGTCTGTAGCAAATCCTGTTGTACAACCTGCAACACAAACTTCAGAAGGGGGATTTGGTGCCACGATATCTAGTATGTTGTCTCGTCTGATCGGTTACCCCGAAGAACAGCAACAAGTAGTACAGCAGCCACAACTTGCACCCAACCCATCAGACCCTGAGTTTGTCAATCTGGTGGTGCAGCAACAAGCACGTCAAGGTCCCAATGATCTATTTGGCTCAGTAACTATACCACTCCCTAAACCCATTCATTATCAGCACACACAACCAGCTCAGTTTGCAGTTACGTCCCAAAACCCCAACCAGGCCTCTTCTAGAGTTGGAGGGGAGCCTCTCCCATCCATCCTGTATAATCTATCTCCAGGAGTCAAGGAGACACTCAGGAGACAAATGAACGACAAGCCCCAGTTTAGATTTGCAAGAACCCAGCAACAAACATTTCCACAAGCCAGGTCGAGAATGGACACCGGCTTTGTTGACACTCTCAACCCACAAGAGGACTTAGTAGCCTCAGCAACCACCTCACCAAAGATTTACCCCTCAAAATTAACCAGCTTGCCTCCTGCACTCCTGAAACAGTTGATCAAAGCAAGACTAAATACTCTAGTAGATAATGTCCAAGTGGCTCCCTCTGTAGCTCCGAGACCCACCGTGGACCACACCAAACCACGTGAGCGCAGTTCTTATGCCGAAATACCGTATGCCAGTAATGACTATGGTTACGGAGGGTACGGCCACGATTACTCTCATGTCGAAGTGGATAAAAACCGGAAACTCTTCGATATCTTCCTCCTCGCTGATATGGTCAAAGTGCATAAAAGGGGTAACGATAACTTGTCAATCAAGGCACCAAAGATTGGAGATGCCAGCAAATTTGTGGACACACACAGTCATCGCTATGGCTACCATCGTTAGCCTCACAGTGAGCTTCAGAGTGTAGTGTAAAAGACAGTATAAATGACACCAGTGTAGTGAAGAAATAATTAGAAACACTAAATCTATATTGTACTGTACTGTATGTTAATGGTACTCCACAACTGCTATGGCAGGACATCTGTTGATTGTTAGTAGATTAAACTACCAATGGTTGTTTTAGATTACGGTCTTCCAATTCCCCTTCAGTTGCTGGTAACAGTGGTGTTGTGGTGTTCCTGCTAGCACCTGATGTCAGTCAGCTGTGGATACCTTGCCACACATTACACCAAATGAAATTGTATTTATTTGTAGGATAGAAACACGTGTACAGTACTGCAGTATTTTGTTATTGAAGACAAGTATTGTACCGTGCATATTTTATAATAAAATGATAAAAATCTTATCTTGAACATCTTTTCCTCCTTCAAGTAAGTGATTTTGTAAAGGCACAACAACTTTTGCTATCACCTACACCCAGGTTTTATATCTGCATATAATGTAACATTATTTCTCTCAAACACTTGGGTAGGATGGCATCACTACAGAAGTATACAGGAAACAAAACACACTGACATTAATACAACTACACACGCAATTATAAACTTTCTGAAATCTCACACCAGTAATACTGTATTCTCAAGAAAAAAATGGTAGCCCTAACGCCCCCCTAACTGTGTGCTCTCACTCGTGAAGAAATGTTTATTCCCTTTATGTTTTTGACCTTATGATACAATTTTGTATTTTCATTTTTTGCATATTCTGTATGAACTATTTTGTGTACAAGTAACAGTGAAAAAAATACTTTGGTAACGCTGATCACTCGCCGCCTATAATTTTTATTTGTGTATATTCTGAAATTTAAATAACATGAAAACTAAATAATTAATATAGAACACTACACTACACTACAGTATGTAACTACAGTACAGTATTCTCACTGGAGACAGGAACTGTAGAGCAAACACCAGACATTTCTGAAGTCTTAATAGCCACTGTAATTAATAAAGATGTTCTATCCTGTCATATTGGTCCATTTCTGACATATTTATTGGATAAATTTACTGCCACAGTCTACTTATTAGACATGCAATTCTGTCTTGGAATACAATACAATGCCTCTTACAGAAATATTAACTAGTTTGTTTTGTATGATTTGAATCCTTCGATACTGAGCTCTGGGTGATGACAGCATCCATGAGCTAAAACTGGACAATGAGTACAGAAAAAGATCAACACACCCAGACAGTTGACATAATACAAACGCTATAAAGAGCTGCCACAGGGATGCTGGGAGCGACAGGGAGATGTTTACTTAAGTTTCCCATTAAGTCTAATTTTTCGCTTTCTTTTATTAATGTCCAGTCTCATTTTCTCTTACAGTACTAAAACAAAGCCTAACTCATCTATATTTTCTGTGATGCAAAAAGCTAGTTAGCAGTTGGCGATCGTTATAGTTCTCAGTCTTTGTTAAGTGTTATGAATGTTATGAATGTTAGTGAAGTTGACGAGTAAAAAGAACGTTACAAGGGATCTATTAAACATTCCCCTACCCATATCCTCTATTTGTCTATCGGTAACTATCAACTATCAATTTTTCCTCCATTCCCACATACTGAATCCTCAATTGATCACACTGCTCTACTCTTATTATAAATTCCTTGTATACACTTGAGTCATCTGGTTCACCCATCCCTTACATTATAACATACAAAATAACTCAACAGCCACAATAAATTCTCAACCATTATCCAATTTTAAACTTCTGGGTTCATCTATTCACTTTCATGAACTGTCCTTCCTTTTTCTTAGCAATATTGATCCCCTCTATCTAATAAGGTCAAACTCCTATTTCTCCCGGGTTGTATTTGGTTAGATACAATTATGATAGAACGATTCTACGCCAAAATTTGCTGATTATATTTAATGTTTGGGTTATAGTATATTCATGTTATTCACGTCATTTCATTCTGGACTATGGGTGTATCATTGTATGTGTGTTTACTTGTCACTATATTTCATTGTACATGTGATGAATTCCCAATACAACCCAGCAATCACCGTACAAAATTTGATTAGTTATACCTCAACATAATAGAAAATGTATCAGCTACTTTAAAGTTTTCTTTCGTTGTTTTAGGGCAAACTTTTTATATTTGAGGGCTACTCTCTTTAAATTGATAAAACACATTTTTTGATGGTTTGGAGAGATATCTTCCTGCCAACCATTTCAAAAGTTGTTTATCATGTTTTCAGCCGCAACAAGGAGATGGGCGATGCTGAAGAACAGGGTAGACATTTCCCTAATCGTGGTCAGAGACATGGTAGGAAAGCCGTATCATAGGTATAGAGGCTGTATTATCAACCTACACAGGTAATTTCATGGATATTCTTGCACAGAAAATATTTACCAAGTTTAAAAATGCATAAGTAAGAAGCTGTCAATATATACAGTTATAAATATTTATTTTGTCTATAAAATATTAAAAAACATTCCCACTTTAGAAGGCATGAACGAGACACCTTTTTAAAATATTGAGAGAAAAAAAAAGTGTTAAACCAGAGCTTCTACATGAAAGAATAATGTAGACAAAAAACTTCCAAACCTAAAAGATCAGTGAAATGAACTTTATTATCCCATCTACCGACAGTGTACGACCAGTCTTCTCACAACGAACACATCAATAATCACCGTTTTCTATAACTGAGAGAGTTTCTATAGTCAGCAGGATCTTATTCATGCTAGGAATCCCGACAATCACCTTAGTAATCTACAGTCATCTCAACACCAAACACCAAAACATCAGAGGCACGGAGGAAGGTTAGCAACTGCCACGTCACACACACACATGGTACAGTATTAGTGGGAAGTAAAGCGATTTGAGAGGAATTATTACAGATTAACG